GTTCATCATCGGTGTGCATCCGATATGCCATGGTGGACTCAAATAGGTTAAGGTGTTCAATTGGGTCCTCCCTTCCAGTATAGAGTTGTAAACCAAGCTTTTGTTTTGTCTTCACTTGAAAGGGGTGTCGAGAATCCTCTTTGGGAGAGAGCTAGGCCTGGGTTGGTTCCAGTCAGGTATCTCGGCCTAACGTTCGGCCTTCAACTTGTTTACTTCCTCAATGAGCTGTAAGACAAGGGGGTCCTGAGTGGAGTCATGTACCACTGGGATTTTCTTTCGTAAGTCTCCATCGCCTCTTGGAAGTAGGAAAGTTTGAGCAAAGGCGTGTGATTTTTCCTTGGACTCACTGTACTGACTTCTAGGGCAAATCTGTTGGAATATCTCAGAGTCTCTTGTACCTTTATGTTCCTATAGGACCTGTCATTCATTCCCTAGATTGGCAGCTGGCCTGGGTCGTGGAAAGGGACCGAGTCTTCCAGAAACCCTTGAGTCATTGATCTTCGAGCATATGTGAAGAGGATTTTCTCGACGTTGCTTTAGGAAGTCTTAGCAGTCACGATAAACGACTTTCGATCCTTCCAACCCTTCTGCAATGAGGTGTCTTCTTCCACTTCTCCTGCTTCGGGTCGAAGCAGCTCGGTTGGGAGAAGTCTCATGTTGATCAATATTTTGATGATTAGCTCGCTCTTCATCAGGGATACCCAAGTCAAATTAAGGTGACCCTTCGTGTTGTGGGGCACCCAGATGATGGTTGATGTCCACAGGGGCAACGAGCTCGCGTGTTTGAGTACGCCTAGTTTCGTGAAGCGTTTCAAAAAGCTTCTCATACTGCTCTTGGAAGACCTCATTCTTCATTGCTATCTTGTTGTTATGAGCTTCTAGCTCATCGACTTTAGCTCGAAGAGCAACCCTCTTTCCTTCTTTCTTTCGTTGCTTCGCACTAGGTGTAAGAGGGGTGTCATTTTGTGTGTTGTGGCTTCCTTCGCTCCCCATGTTGGAAAGAGATGCCTGGTCAAAAGAGAGTGTACGAATGGTGGAAACCAGCTTGACAAAGCTGAAAAGAGTGGGAATAAGTGTCGTTCCCACAGACGGCGCCAAATGTTGATGCACAAAATCATTAAGGACTTTAGTACAACAGAAAATGTTAAGTTTGTGACCTTCGCTAGATTGCTTCGGTCAGTAGTGTGGATAAGTATGTAAATGGATAGGGACAGGAAAGCAAACATAAGATGTACGTGGTTCACCCAGATTGGCTACATCCACGGAGTAGAGGAGTTCTCATTAATTGTGAAAGGTTTACACAAGTACATAGGTTCAAGTTTTCCTTTAGTGAGTACTAGTGAATGATTTAGTACAAATGACATTAGGAAATATTGTGAGAGAATGATCTCTATTTATAGAAGAGAATTTCTAGTTTCATTCTGACATTGACACGTGTCGTGTTGTGATTGGCTTCTGATGTTGACATGTGTCGCACTATGATTGGCTTTTAATGTTAACACGTGTCGCTCTGTAATCGGCCTCCTGGTTAGAGGGAAACTCTTCTGGATCCTTGACGGTATAACGTTGACTGGTGCTCAGTAGTTTTGGGATTGATCAAGTATGGTACAAACAGAACTGAAGGGTAAGATGCTGGGGGTTGATGCACACTACGGCTGTCTACCTTCAATGCAATTTGTCGAGAAGGAATAAAAGCAAATTGACACATTAATCCATATCCTCAACACCTATGTTATTTCTAGCCTAACTAGGGATTTCAACTAATAAACACACAGTTAATGTCACTTAGAGTTCAGCCGAGAAAGAAGCTATATCACACTTTAATTTACAAACAAATAGCTCAACATGTGAAATTTCCTCCTTTATAAGGAAGAAACCCTAATTCAGGAGACCCAATACTTAAATACCATTATAATTGTCGTTCATAATTAACAATCATGCGACTGTATGAAATAAACTGAAGAGCCAAATCAAGTCGGAGATCAGGTGATAAATCTATAGAAAAAGATGACATCGAGGACCAAGTTGGGAGGTGTTACGATCCGTCCCTGATTTTACACTATTTTAATCTTGAAGATGTAAAATTACCAAAATGCCCCTAGAACGGTACGTGTTGACTTTCGTTGACTGGTATTTGTGACACATATAAACTATTGTTTTAGTGTATTTTCATAGTAATCATTGTTACGAACGTGTAGGTACAAGCGGAATGAGAATCAAAGAATCAGACTTTAAACAGTTTTTACAGGACAATGAATGAAAGGGCATTTTCGTAAATTCACCCCATTTATGGAGAATCCTTTTGGTTTGTTTGGGTTCCAATGGGACTCACATCCCTCTCCCATTTTCCAAAACTCTCTCTCCCTTTCTTCTTTCCTTCACATGTTTTTTTCCTCCCCAGAGCCACACATAACCATCACAGTCCAACGAGTTTTAACCCTTTAAAAACTACCATCTTCATCTCCAGCTCACCACAAGTTCAAAGACCTCATTCTTGCCTGAAAACATGAAGTCGAGCCTCAGACCCTCGACTTCAACAATGCTCGCAAAATTTCGAAGAGGTTTTCTCATTCGAGGTAGATGTGAGTAGTTCCAGAGGCTCTAGAGAACATGCCCAGCTAGAGGAAGACTTCACTGAGTACCAGATTTAGCAGTCGTAACAGTGATCACATCAGACGTTGAGGTACATTCCAGCAGCTCTGACATATTCCTACGAAGTATGGTATTTACTCAACTTATTCATAAGACTTGTATTTAGGTAATTATGCTCTGAACCCATTGTCTTGCATGTAATAAAGGGTCTAAGACCCATTAGGTGTGGCCCTTCGAGGATTTGTTGGAATAAAGGTGGTTGTTTGCAGGTATTTTAATTGGGCTCATCCCTATTTTAAGGGAAGCTCTACCAAAATTTTGATAGATTTTAATAGTTGAAAACTTTAGTTATGACTTCATCACCTATCCAGGTGATGGCCAACACGCCTCAATTTTGGTTTTCACTAGACATGAGGGTTAGGGTGTGTTAGAAGCGCTTACCTTGATGGTGAGGTCAAGATGGTGAGCCTAGTCAAGTTAGAGACAAAGTTTGGCAGGTTAGAGAGGTCACAGTGAAGGAGGTGCTCGTGGACCACGTGAGAGGATGGAGGTGTATCAAGGCCAATCAAGCCAGGGGGTGAGCGCGACGACGAGCAAGGTGAGCGAGGTGTCGGATGTTCGACGTCGAGAGGAGAAGATTCTTGTTTGGAGGGTGATCGATAAGGTTGAGGTATCAAGTTTGAACTTTGGAGTCTAAGGACTGGAGGTAGGGTATGAGTTTGGACTCTGGAGGCAAGATGGGACGAGGGTTGTATTAGTTTGGGTTAGTGTAAAATATAAAACGATGTTGTTTTAAGATTTAGATATTCAGTTCGGTTCGTTGTCCTAAGCTTTGAACACGGAACCAAATTAATAGAGTTCGGTTCAATCTGATTTCTCTAATTTTGTTTGATTTTTCTCGGTTCAGTTTTTTCTACTTTGGTTCGGTTCGATTTATTTTTTATTTTTCGAATCTACCCTACATCTCATGGTATACTCCTTATAAATCGATTTGTAAACGGTATATGCCATGAGATAATACCTTATCATTTCATACCATTGGAATATTTAACATTTATTTTTAGAGTAAATTGTACAAATGGTCCCTCAACTTTAATCAAATTGGAGCAATGGTCCCTCAACTAAAAATCCATTACCATTGGTCCCTCAACTTATCAAAATGTGTAGCTATAGTCCTTTTTATCAATTCTGTCAAAATTTTGTCAAAATAAGCTATGTTGGAATGACCATTTATATAATTAGGGTCCCTCAACTCATCAAAGTGTATAATTATGGTTCTTTTCGTCAACTATGTCAAAAAATTTGTCAAAACGAGTTATATTGTAAGGACCATTGCTACAATTGGATTAAAGTTAAAGGACCATTTCTCCACTTGAATTAAAGTTCAGGGACCAATGGTAATGAATTTTTAGTTGAGGGACCATAGCTACACGTTTTGATAAGTTGAGGGACCAAAGGTAATGGATTTTTAGTTGAGGGACCATTGCTCCAATTGAGTTAAAGTTAAGAGACCATAGCTACAATTTACTCTTATTTTTATTCACACTGAAGTTATCCAAACTCATTCCGGTTTTGAATTTCCTTGCAAGGCAATTTGTTGGTTTATAAGTGATTTCCAATTATATTTAATATTGACTCGACTTTTCAGAAGTTGGAAACTTGTCCTTACGCCAACTTGACCCACCAACCAAATCGATTTCCTTCTTGAAACGGTGCTACCAACTTGACTTGGTGACATTGTTAGGATGAGGAGTCAACTGAATGTTCTTTCCAACAGACTTCTTTGTTTGGCCTCTGTTGGACTATTAGTTCTGGTGTAGCTTGTACGTAGACGCTTCTAGAAAAATTGTTAAATCTCGCCGACATAAAACCTAACCCTTACTAATAAAGGAAGTATCATCGCCAGTGATGGATGTTGTTAGACTGGGCATCACACAAGAGGATTTATATTTTGACTCTCTCTTAGGCAAGTGAATTGGAAATAGAATGAAATGGTTTGATTGCAATCTTATTTATAGACAACCGAAGGGAATCACTCAAGTCAATAGGTATAAGTCTTGTTAAATTGTTGTAACCCTTGTCAAAGGTGTAATCCTTTATTTTAGAGTTATATTTCTTGGTACATTTGTTGTATTCGGTTCACATATTAAAAAGATGCATCTCTTTATTGTGAACCAATACCTTTTTTTCTTGAGTTACACATCTTGACCAATAGGCATATCACATAAAATTACCATATCACCACACTGACCACAAAAAATTTCGACCAAATTTTTTTTGGGGGTACAATAAATAGAGATTTTATGTTATTACTTTAAATTTAGGTTTCCTTGTCCTTGTGAGCTAATGATTATTTTGATTTATTTTCTAATACTCCTTAATTGTATTATATAAATACCTCCTTACGGTGAACAAAAAAATATATTAAAATTGTATTTGAGAATTCTGAGATTGTTGAGTACTTTATACCTCTTTAGCTAAAGTTCATGGACACATATAATTCTTAGTACTTATCCCTTATAAAACAATCTCACTTATTTGGATAATAGTATAATACTTGTTTGCCTAATCTAAACATGTCTGTGTAACTGTGTTTATGAATATTTCTCAGCAGTGTTTTGGAGATGGAAGAACAACTCTACGGGTTTAGAGACCATGACCATGTGATCAGAACCGTTTATCACTTTCACTTCATTTGGCGGATTGCTTTTTATCATGTAATTTTGCACATCCATTACTATAGCATGGTCTTCGCCGGACACGATGAATACTCTAGGAACTGATCCATATTTCTCTTTTGTGAGCTTTATAACATCATAATTGTAGCGAGGAAAAAATCTCACCAACGATAACGCTAGGGTTAAATCCTGCACATTATATAAATCACCAACCAAAAAGAAGAAAAAAAAGCATATTTAGCTAAGTAATTATTATCTTTCCAGTGCGTGTTAAGAGAGCACGAATAGGGTTCCTATCTATTGCAATAGACACACTTTAAGTTTAAGACTTACCTGTGGTGGTGAGAGCTGGTACAAGCTTGTTGCCAAGTCCTTGGGCCCAAAGAGAAAAGATGTTGCTGGGTTATTGGTTCCGTTATCATATCTGAATTGAGAATCCATATAATGGAATCTTTTCTTAATCTATGCATTATTCAGAAAATTATTTGTTAGTTACCCCTTGTATATCTCATTCAGTAGGATTCACACAACAATGAACAAGAGATCAGACATGTGCACACATACATAGTCCCATTTAATTTAGAGATCTCTCAAACAAGTTTATTGAAGGGATCTCTTGTAGGCCTAATTCTCGATATATATAAATGTAGAATTAAATAGTAGTCATTTTATTGTTTTTTTGAAGAATCGTATTTGTCTATTTTTTTCACTCTAATTTGATTTATACTTAATAGTTTTGGAGTGAATTTTTTTTATAAAGATGATTTATGAATGAATTAAAATAAGACGATTCGGATCATTGTAAAAGTTATAAAATTGGCAATACAAAGTGTCTCAAATAAGTTTATTTGAGGGAACCCTCAACGGAGAGATATAGTTATGCCATACTTATTTTTTTGATTCACAAGATACGATGAACAAGGTACAACATATGATCAATTTCAAATGACAGTAGAGCACTATAAAGAAGACATATAGTGCAACTCAATCTTTGTGTATGAAATTCATTACCTCTGATTGTATAGTTGAGAAATTGAGAGTAGGACCAGACATGACAGCCGTAACATATACCGCAGCAGCAATTTTATGCGGAAACCTCTCCATGAAAATAGATATGACGGCTCCACCAAAGCTGTGAGCCACAAGGATAACCTTTTCAGGTGGTAGAGACACCATGAGCTTTGTCAAAGGCTCGACGTATTCCGATAACGAAGGCAGTTGCTGTACCTGAATCGGGTTGATCCCGGATGCTCCCAAGTCTAGAGCTGTGACATGATGACCTGAGTCCTTGAGGAGAGTTGCCACCTTATACCAGCTCCATGCTCCATGACAAGCTCCATGTATCAACACAAAACGTTTTGGACTTTGAGTTTGGTTGTGAATGGGGGGCGAGGATGGGGTTGAGGTACTAGCTTTTGCTAAGCAAAGCTTCTCTGTTATGTTCTCCATCTTCTCTATCATTAACGCTCAATTTCCTTGATGGTTTGCATCTCTCGTCTTACTTTCATATGTACACACGATCGGAGAACTAATAATTGATTCAGAAGTCAAAAGTCTCGATCAGAGAATTAATAATTTGCTCAAAAGTCAAAAGTCATTGTATTAAAGTTGAAAAGTATTCCCAACTCAAATTTTTTTTTTTTTTTTTTTTTTTTGGAATTCCCAACTCAAATTTGCTGGAGAAGTAGTTTCCTATGTAGAGCCACATATTTGGTGCCAACGGGATCCTCTCTGGATTCTTTTGGTGAGGATCATGGAGATCTGTGAATCGTGTCTGTTTATCGTACATTGTGCGGTCAGTTTTGTTAGGTACTGTTTGTGTTTAATTTTAAATAAAAATATTTAAAATGATTTATGACCGCATAATGTATGATGAATAGACACGATTTATGGATCCCTAGAATCCTCACAAAGAGAATCCGAATTCTATTTGGTAAAGAACCAAATGACGACATACGTGAAACGATTCGTACGGTTTGTTTGAGTTTCAGAGGGAAGGATTGCTGTTTATCATTACATTAATATTGTCTTCAATTAAATACTCGTGTAATTAGTAAGTGTGAACGTTTTATATAAAAAAACTTGAATGTAATTTAAAATGAAAGTAATATAAGTTGTGATTGTTTTGCCTGTTCTTAATCCTATAACATTCCTTGTACATGGGTCCGCCTACACTGAATTAAATGTAACGGAAATGAAATGAAATAGCCAAACAGGGCATGCTCAGCAAAACCTAAAGGGAGAAAGGGTAGCTTGGGACTTAGGGTTTCAAACCTGTCAATTGCTAGGATGGACAAAATCCTTGGCTATTGGATAGCACAAGAATTTCCAACAGTGAGTGATAAATGAGCATTTAGGCGGAATTTCTATTGTACTTTCGGATATTTTATACACTGATTAAAATTTTCAAATTATAAAATACTCGGAAACCGTATAAAGTTTTCAAAGTTTAGGCAAGCAAAGAAAATTTATCACGAACAAGTACGACATACAAATCTCGGTAATATGATGGAAGGCTAAATAGACAAAATGATCCTTAAGATTTGCATAACTCATCATTTTGGTCTCTCACATTTCAAATCAATAAAAATGGTCCCTGAGATTGTCCACCATCCATCATTTTGGTCATTCTGTTAAAAACTCTGTTAAGTGTCCCTAAGCTCTTGGCTGGAAGTTTGGGCAATTTTCAAAGTTTTGTAACTCAATCGTTTCTTAACCAAATTTGACCCATAATATATCAAAATGAAGATAGGAAAGTGTAGAATAAGATTATACCTATTTGGAAGACCAATGGCTGCCGGAGATGGCCGGCAAATAGCCTCAAAGTTGAATGGTCCGAGGAAAAACTGGAAAACTCACCAGAAACTGGTAAACTTTAAACGTTCATAACTTCTTCAATACTCAACGAAATCAAGTGATTCAAAAACGAAATCATACTTCTCGATGAGACAAAGAGAATGGTACCTTTCTCGACGGCTAAATCGTCGTGGTTTGGCCGGACAAAGGCTCAAAAGTGGCTAACTCGAGACCAAGACGACCACTTTCGAGCCATTTTCCGGCCAACCCACAGCGAGTTAGCCATTGAAAAAGGTACCATTCTCTTCGTCTTGTCGAGAAGTATAATTTTCGTTTTTGAATTACCTGATTCGTTTATTATTGAAGAAGTTACGAACGTTTAAACTTTACACAGTTTCTAGTGAGTTTTCAAGTTTTCCCTCGAACCAGTCAACTTAAGGCTATTTTCCGACCATCTCCATCAACCTTTGGACTTCCAAATAGGTATAATCTTATTCTACACTTTCCTATCTTCATTTTGATATATTATGGGTCGAATTTGGTGAAGAAACGATTGAGTTACAAAGCTTTGAAAATTGCCCAAACTTTCGACCAAGAGCTCCGGGACACTTAACGGAGTTTTTAACGGAATGACCAAAATGATAGGTGGTGGATAATCTCAGGGACCACTTTTATTGATTTGAAATTTTAGGGACCAAAGTGATGAGTTATGCAAATTTCAGGGACCAGTTTGACTATTTAGCCGAGTTAATGATTATTTGGATAAGTGTCAATAGATACGAGGAATTAGTGGGATATAAGTTCAGAGTTCAAGGAGCTTGTACCGATTAGGTTACTCTTGGTACTTTTCCTTATATTTCTTTTCGGACTTTCTTTTGAGAGCCTACGGGTGTGTCACCCTAGTGAGGGTTGTGCTTTGTTGTACAGCTGTTGTAAGTACTATGACAGACCACACCACCTTACCAAATATTGTCAATTTCAATTTCAGTTCCAGTATTTCTTATTTGTATATCTTGGCACCCCTAGAGTCCAGCATCACATTGATCCTAGATGTATATCGAGATGGGGCATGACATGGAGACTGGAGGTAGGGTATGGACTTGGAGTCTGGAGACAATGTTAGACGATGGATGTATTAGTTAGGGTTAGTGTAAAGCATAAAACGATGTTGTTTCAATGTTTAGGTGTTCGGTTCAGTTCACTATACTAACTTTCGAATCTGAACCCGAATTAATAGAATTCGATTCGATTTGATTTCCCTAATTTTGTTCTGTTTTTTTATGGTTCATTTTTTTTCCGTTTCAGTTTGGTTTTTTCGATTTGTAAACGGTATGTCATGAGATGATACCTGATCGTTTCATACTATTTTTTATTCATACTGAAGTTATCCGAACACATATCCGATTTTGAATTTCCTTGCAAGGTGTTTTGTTGGTTTATAATTGATTTCCAATTTTATTTAATATTGACTTGACTTGTCAGAGGTTGGAAACTTGTTCTCACGCCAACTTGACCCACCAACCAAATCGATTTCTTTTCAGACGTTGGAAACTTGCCCTTCTTTAGACGTACGGTGCTGCCAACTTCACTTGGCGACATTGTTGGGATGAGGAGTCAACTTTAATACTCTTTCCACCACAAACTTCTTTGTTTCTTGGATAACTTTGGAGTCAACTTTAATACTCTTTCCACCACAAACTTCTTTGTTTCTTGGATAACTTTGGCCTCTGTTGGACTATTAGTTCTAGTGTAACTTGTAAGTAGACAGTTCTAGAAAAATTATTAAATCTCCCTGACATAAAACCTAACTCTGTTGAAAATATTAGCTGTTGAAAACATTAGCAGTTGAAAACATTGACAATGCTGAAACCATTGGCAATTTAATGAATGCCCATGTAAGTTTTTCAATACCCACACAAAGTAATGTAGACTTTGGAAATAAAGGTGATCATATTTTTAAAGTCATGTGTTGTAAATTTCAAGCTATAAGAACCTGTTTGTATAGAGCCGCTCTATGAATAGAGCGCTCCGACTGCTATTAAATGACAGAGTGATATACTGAGAAGAAATGAAAGATTAATAACTTCAGTATCCATTCCTCCCTCTTTTATTTGCCATTCTCTTGTGCTATAGTTTCAGTGTGATATTTTACACCAGCTTTTCTCCTGTTATTAGTAAATGTTATCTCTCTAACTTTTATATATTTATAACACATTATCAGCACGAGTCTCTAAAACCTAACCATTTCTCATTTCTCTTCACCGAACGAAAGAAAGAAAAAAAAAAGTTTCCTCTAAGGATTTTATTGTTCATCTTCTTCCTCTGCCTCAACTGCACGATATACCCTCGCGACGAACTGTTTGCTCCATGCTTGCCTTTAGTTCTTAACCTAACAGTTACATACATCTTTGATTTTTTGTTTGGTGTAGATCTTGATTACTAACCCAGTATTTATTTATGTTGATTTTACTGCAATCCAAGATGGTGCGGTACAATTTCCCATCTTGAATTGCAAATTTAATCTTACTGCAATCTAAGATGGTGTGGTATCATCACCTATCTTGGACTGCAGATTTAATTTTACTGCAAATTTTAGGTGGAGCGATATAATCGCCCACCCTACCTTGCATTTAAATTTGCCTGCTATTTAATTTCAGTGCAATTTTAGGTGGTGTGGTATAATCGCCCACCTTGCTATGCGTATTTAAATTTTCCTGCTACTGGAGTGGTGTGGAATAATCGCTCATCCTATGTTATATTATTTCAATGAGAATGGTGTGGTACAATCACCCTCCTCAATCATCTTGGAAATCTCGAGCTTGAAGTTTCGAGTACTTATCATTTTGGCTTGAAGATCAAAATGAAAAACTTGTAAAAACCAGAAGTTCTAACACAACATACCTTCAAAATTCATATTATTGCAAGTTCTTACACATCTCATTTTTCTTTCAGAAAAGAAAATGGCGAACTTTGCAAAACTTGATTTTGCTACCCTGGACATTACAAGGAAGAATTACCTTACCTGGGTACTGGATACCAAGATCCATCTGGAAGCATGGAATTTTGGAGATACCATTAAGGAAGAAAATAGCTCATCCTCTCAAGATTGGGCAAAGGCCATGATCTTTATTCGTCGTCGTCTTGATGAGGGACTAAAGAGCGAGTACGTAACGGTTGAAGATCCGTTAGCTCTCTGAAAGGCATTGAGAAGCAGATACAATCACCAAACAACGGTGATTCTTCCAAGGGCTCACTATGAGTCGACTCACCTAAGGATCCAGGATTTCAAGTCAGTGACTGAGTATAATTTTGTGTTGTTCAGAATTGCCTCTCAGATGAAGCTCTGTGGGAATACCATTGTTGAGGAAGATATGTTGGAAAAGACTTTCAGCACATTTCATGTCTCTAACGTGCTCTTGCAACAGTGGTATAGAGCGCAAGGCTTCACTAAATACAACCAGCTGATATCTGTGTTTTTGGTAGTTGAAGAAAACAATGAGTTCCTGATGAAAAATCATCAGTCCCGACCTACTGGATCTGCACCATTCCAAGAAGTGAATGATGTTTCCCTCGAAGTGAACGCCACATCCTTTGGTGGTGATAATCATAAATGAGGACGTGGCCACAAGCGAGGTTGGTGGAACAGGAAAGGCAAGAACCATGGTGGTCAGTTTACAACCAAGTTCCAAGGCAAAATTCAGGCCCGAGCTTTAAAAATGTGAATC